TACATCCTCGTGTACGTCGACGACTTGGTCTTTGCCACAGCGGACACTGCTGGACTCGCCTACGTGAAGTCCGAGCTACTGAAGAGACACACGTGCACAGACCTGGGTGAACTGCGCAGCTACCTTGGCTTGCAGATCACTCGGGACAGAGCACGCCGCACCATCACCTTGACTCAGTCACACATGGTGCAGCAGGTCCTTCAGCGCTTCGGCTTCACGTACTCCTCGCCTCAGGCCACTCCTCTGTCTACTCGCCAATCACTCTCAGCTCTGCCTTCGGATGAGTCCGTAGAGTCGAGTGGCCCGTACCCAGAGCTTGTTGGCTGCCTCATGTACCTGATGACCTGCACTCGACCTGACCTTGCATACCCTCTGAGCATTCTTGCACGCTATGTTGCTCCTGGGAGACACCGACCAGAGCACATGGCTGCAGCGAAGAGGGTATTGCGCTACCTGTGCAGTACGTCGGGCATGGGGCTAGTGCTTGGAGGGCGGAGTCCAGTGGTCCTTACAGGCCACGCGGACGCTTCTTGGGCTGACGACCAGGCTACGCAGCGGTCGTCACAGGGTTACACCTTCAGTCTTTGTTCCGGCTCTGTCTCGTGGCGGTCTACTCGTTCGTCTTCGGTTCTCAGCTCCAGTTGTGAGGCTGAGATCTACGCCGGGGCCATGGCTGCACAGGAGCTTCGCTGGCTCACCTACCTGCTGACTGACCTTGGAGAGCCGCCTCGTTCTCCTCCAGTGCTGTACGTAGACAACAAGGCCATGCTGGCCTTGTGTCGAGAGCAGCGCTTGGAGCACAGAACGAAGCACATTGCTCTCCGTTACTTCCTTGCTCGTGAGCTGCAGCAGCGTGGTCAGTTGCGACTTGCGTACGTGGCCTCTGAGGCCAACACTGCTGATGTTTTCACCAAGGCACTTCCGCCTTGTGATCATCAGCGCTTCTGCACTCAACTGGGACTTGTACCTGTCCTACCTCACTTGCTCACCTCTTGACCTTGCTTGTACTCTTGCATATATATATATACCTGCTCCTGTTTGTTTAGCCTTATATATATATATGTGTCTAGTCTTGCATGTGAACTGGCCTTGTGGCCGTGACCTTGTGCTCGGACTGTGTGGTGACTTTGTGATCCACCCTGAGCTTTGCTTTGCTTTGCTTGACTGGTCTTGTGACCCCTTGTTCTCCCCCACTTTGCCTATGGGGGTGTGTCAGATTCATATGACATAGCTGTTGTAGGCTATAGTGGGGTAGCACATATGGGGTACAGGTTTCTAGGGTTGTATTTGTACCCAATCTTTCCTTCGTCATTTCATTCCTATTCTTTAGTTTCACACGCACTCCGCGCGCGCGCCATCTCTTGGCTAGTTGCTTAATAAGCCTGGTGAAGATGAACGGGGACGGGGCTGTTGCGAGGCCGAAAGGTAAGGATGTGAAGCAATAGAATTTTCCGCCCAATTGAAAGCCCAAAAACTTCCAGCATGATGGGTGGATTTCGACGTGGTGGTAGCCTGACTTGAGATCGATTGTGAACATCCAGTCGTGTGGGCGAATGATTTCCGCGACCCGACTCAAGCCTTCGTACTTGAACTTGGGAACTTGGAGGTGAGCGTTGACCTTCCGCAGGTCAAGGATGAGCCGGCATTTGTCTCGTTGCTCCACAACATTGAGCGGGCTGATGCACGTCAGTGCGGCTTTCGACGAGACATGCATCGCGGCGCCTGACGCGATGAGGTCGCTAACCGTGTCTTGGGTGAATGCCATGTGTGCTTGAACGCCTACGTGATTGGGCGCTTTGAAGGGGAGAGGCTCTGCGCCCTTCCATGGTAGCCAGTACCCTTTGGCAATGATGGAAATGATAAGACTACTGTCGCACCATGATAGCCACCAATGGAGGCTGTTGCGCAATCACATTCGCATGATGGACACCATCTTGTCCGTTATTGCGTGCTCGTATGGGTCCCAATGAGCACTCCGCCACTCGCTTTCCACTTCTGCAATTAATGGGCAACCGAGGTTGTGTGGGGGGGGGGGGGGGGACCAGGGCCAAGGTCGATTAGACGCGAGATAATACGGGACACTTCGTCGGGCAAACTATGTCGCTTGTCTTCTACCGTCGTCGTGCCTCCCCGCACTCCCGGGGTTTTTTTTTTTTTTTTTTTTACTTTGCTTGCGCAGTCATCAGCTTTAATAGTACCCTTGCAAGGTTTTTTTTTTTTTTTTTTTTTTTTTTTTTTACATTGCCTTACAACGAGATCGGCGCATTTGCGTCACTTGGTCCCACGACCTTGTTCATCACGATGTCGTCGTGATAGTTCCTCTCTCTCTCTCTCTCTCTCTCTCTCTCTCTCTCTCTCTCTTTCTCTCTCTCTCTCTCTCTCTCTCTCTCTCTCTCTCTCTCTCTCTCTCTCTCTCTCTCTCTCTCTCTCCCTCTCTCGCTCTCTCTCTCTCTCCGTCTCCCTCTCTCTCTCTCTCTCTCTCTCTCTCTCTCTCTCTCTCGCTCTCTCTCTCTCTCACTCTCTCTCGCTCTCTCTCTATCTCTCTTGCCCTCCCTCGTTCTCTCTCTTTCTCTCTCTCTCTCTCTCTCTCTCTCTCTCTCTCTCGCTCTCTCTCTCTCTCTCTCTCTCTCTCTCTCTCTCTCTCTCTCTCTCTCTCTCTCTCTCTCTCTCTCTCTCTCTATCTCGCTCTCCCTCCCTCTCCCTCGCACTCCTGGCCAATTCCTCCTCCGTGGCTGCCTTCCTCAAGAGGGGGCTGATGTTTTATTTGTTGTGCCATTTGTCTTCTCGTTTCGTGTTGGCTCCCTTTCTCTCTCTCCATTGTTCGTTTTTTTTTTTTTTTTTTTTTTTTTTAATAACAACAATCTTTTAGTAATCCACACAAAGGCATACAAGCCAAGCCTACACCATAACCAGCCCCTACGGCTGCCATCTTGCCCTGGCCCCCATGGCCTATCCTACTCCCCAAGGCTCCTAACCAGCCTACGCACCACCGGTGCATCCACCTACGCCCCCCGGCATAGTGGCAAGGGGCGCCGCCCCATGGGTCCTCTCACACCACGGGTGCGGGACCTTGTGCGCCACGCCCTCCCATAGGGCAATTATTTGCCATATGGCCGGGCTGGCCACAACGGAAACACACCCCCTTGAAGCGGGGCTCGTGGCAGCCCGTGGGTGGCATGCCTTTGCTTTCCGGTTCACCGTCTCGAGGGGGAAGGCGACCTCCGCGGGCGAAGCCGGTACGTGCACGCTTGAGGGCCGCCACGTCGGCTACCGCGAGCTTGTAAGAGCGGGATGTGAGCACGCTCTTGGCTTGGTACAGCTGGAACCGATCCGCCGCTTCGAAACCGGCCTCATCCGCCACCAAGAGCACCTCGAAGCGTTTGTTGATCAACGTGTCGATTTGCTCCACGTTGGAGAGCGCGCCCTCGACGTCGCCGTTTTGGAGCTTGAACTCGACGTGCCTCAGGTGAGCTTGAATTGCAGAGAACACCTCCGCCTGGTCACGCACTCCCTTGCGCATGAAGGTAGTAGCTGCGGGTGAAGGGTTGAGGGGGGGAAGGGGAGGTGCGGGTGCGAGAATGCGACGACGGGCAAGGTTGTCGGGGGCCTCACAGTCTTCATTTTCTGAGTCGTCGCTGTCGTCGGGGATACGGGCTTGGGTTGGTGCCGGAGCTGGGGCGGGAGCAGGAGCAGCGTTGTTGGTGCGAGCGATTTTGGTGGAGCGGGGAGCCACGACAGGTTCCTTCTGCTTTTCGATTTTAGCTGACGCAGAAATTTCTTCAGCTGATGTAGCTGCAGTCGACGGTGCGTGCTGCTGCAATAACGAGAGCAGCGCCTGCAGTTGCTGCGCGGTCAAAGGGGTGGGGGCGGCGTTGACCGGGGTGACGTCAGCGGAGGGTGCCGCGCGCTGGCGTTTCTGGGTCGTGGGCCCGGATGGACCCGCGTCAGCGCCGGTCAAGACGACCGCCGCGTCAGCGGCGGTCGTCGTCTTCTGCGCAGCACGCGCGTGCCTGCCAGGCACGCGCTCTTCAGCAGCAGCCACGCGCGACTGTACAACAGTCGCGCGTTCCTCAGGGGGGGTCCGAAGGGTGCCTCCGAGCAGGAGGTCGACCGCCGAGGGTCCCTCGCTTGAAATTTCCTCGGCGGGACGTTTTCCGCCGCGACGATCCGTTGTCCCGGCCGGAGTCGAGGTTCCGCCGCATTACCGGGGCTAGAATTATTCGAATTGTCGCGGTTAAGTGCCGGGTTGACCGGAGCCATCGTTGCGAGGTTGCGCTTAAGGATGTCGTTAAGGAGCGTTGACGGGGCAGTGAAGCGCGGAAGCGACTGAGTCTTCGCCAGTGTGGACGAGAACGAAATTAGAACTACAATTTTGAAAATGAAAACGTGGGTGGAGACGAATGTCCCCACGTCCCTCTTTTGTAGGCAAAAGAGGGTGAGTAGCGCTTCGGCGCTACCTTTGCTGTGTTGGCCACGTACCCCTTTTCACAATACAAAATTTTAGAAAGTGTTACATTTCATTACACTTTCAAAAATGATCATATTTAGCCATGGCTAAGAGAATCACGCCTTTCCATCATTGCATCGTTTGTGTCAGTAATTTTCGAAACTACTCAACAAGAACCCATATCCTACTGAGGGTGCTCTGCACACCACTCGCGCGTCTTCTGAAACAGCTTCTGCCACGGGCTAGGCCCGCTGGCGTCCATGCCCTCCGACCACTCGGGCGTCCACGGCAGCTGGAACATCAGGTAACACCTCTCGGGATGCAGCATCATCTCCAGATAGCCCGTCAGGAGAGCACATCGCGGCTATCCCCGTCTACTGTGGGTGCTCCGCACACCACTCCCGCGCATCTAAAAAAGCTACACCCTAAAAATCCTCCCCGCATCTCCTGATTTAGCCATGGCTAGGTCCGCCCACATCCACGACTCACTGTTATTGCATCGTTCATATGTCAGTGATTTCCTAACTACTCAACAGGTACGGTAACCCATATCCTACTGAGGATGCTCCGCGCACCACTCCCGCGCGTTCTGAAACAGCTTCAGCCACGGGCTAGGCCCACTCGCATCCATGCCCTCCCGCCACTCCTTGGGCGCCCACGGCAGCTGCCACATCAAATAACACCTCTCCGGATGCGGCATCATCGCCAGATGCCTTCCATTGGGAGAGCACAGCGCGGCTATCCCCGCGGGGGACCCGTTGGGGTTGAACGGGTACGCCTCGGTGGGGGCGCCGTCGTCGTCGCAGTAGCGGATGGGAGCAAGGTTGGAGGAGAGGACGGATTGGAAGAGGGATTCCGAGGGGAAGAGCGCTCGGCCCTCCCCGTGTGCCACCCAGATGCCCACCCTCGTGCCCTCCATGCCCCTGACAGGATGGGAGAAGTACGGGAGGAGAGGGTGAGAAGCGGCAGCAGTAACGGAGGGGGGAGAGGAGATGGAGAGAGGAAACGAAGTGGGCAGGGCAGTTGTTAACAGGGTGGGGAGTGTGAACAGCGGAGGAGGTGTCAAGAGGGTGGGAGGTACTTGGATAGGAGGCGCAAGGGTTTGCAGAAGAGTTGAATGAGGTGCAGATTGATCGGGCAGGAGTGAAGAAAGGTTGAACAGTAGCCAGGGCTTTACTGAGCATGACAACAGCTGAGGAGTCACCCCCACTCGTTGTGAACAAAGCAAGGCAGTCATAGAAAGCATGCTCTATCAGCCCTCCCATTCCCCCTCTCACCTGAGCATGACGGCAGGGGACTCCTCAACCTGTACGGTGGAGAAGCGACTTTTGAGGCGCCTCAAAAGTCAACCTGTATGGTGGAGAAGCGGCACTCTAAGAACACCTGCTATACATGTGTCAGGTGCGCCTTCGAGGTTCTCTTACCCCCTCTCGACTCAGCATGACAGGATGTTGGGTGCGTGCGCATACCAGACCCCCCTCACCTGAGCATGACAGCCGGCGACTCCTCGATCTGAACGGTGGAGAAGCGGCACTCAAAGCGCCCCGACCCTTTGTGCACAACCCAAGGCAGTCACAGAAAACATGCCTACCAGTCCTCCCTTCCCCCCCCCTTCCCCCCTCACCTGAGCATGACAGCAGGAGACTCCTCGATCTGAACGGTGGAGAAGCGGCACTCAAAGCGCCCCGACTCGTTGTGCACAAAGCGCGGCTGCGCTGCGTCTCCTCCCTCGCCCATCACTCCGCCCACGTCTGGGCCAGGCACCTACGGGCGTGAGAAAAGAGACAGGCAGCGGAGAAAAGAAAGCAAATCAGAAACCAGCGTTGTGCACAAAGTGCGGCTGTGCTGCATCCCCTCCTTCGCTCATCACTCCGCCCACGTCCGGACCGGGGACCTGGGAGGGCGAGTTAAGACACACGAAGCGGGGAAGGGAGGGAGAAGGAGAAGCAAGAGGGTTAGTGAGGAAGGATGGATACACGAGAAAAAGGGAGACAAGGAGTAGAGAGTTCTTTCCGAAGGAAATTGAGTTGTGAAGAAGACAAAGCGTCACCCACTGTGCAGTGCCATGCAACAGTCACCCACTGTGCAGTGCCATGCAACAGTCACCCACTGTGCAGTGCCATGCAACGGTCACCCACTGTGCAGTGCCATGCAACGGTCACCACTTCACCCACGAACCCACCTCCCATGCCACCTCATGCCATCGCCACCACCCACGCCACCTCACGCCATCACCACCTCCCATGCCACTAAACCATCTAGGCTCTAGCTCAAATCCTTCCCAAAAATCAGCCTACTCACCCATCCCAGCAGAGCCATGAGCTGACACCCGTTGCTCACGCCCAGGCTGACCAAGCCTTTCATACGCACCCCTGTCCACGACCTCCCCGTCCCCCATTGCCCGAAACTCATCTCTCCTCCCCCTCCCCAGCTTCAACACCAGCCGCACTCACCCATCCCAATAGCACCATGAGCTGGCAGCCGTTGCACACGCCCAGGCTGACCAGCCCTCTCATCTGCTTCCATTTCACACGCCCAGGCTTCTTCCCCAAAGGACTTCCACTGCACCTAACTCACACACACACCCATAACTCACCCATCCCAGCAGCGCCATGAGCTGGCACCCATTGCACACGCCCAGGCTCACCAAACCCCTCATGCCCCCTCCGTTCCCCTCTCAGTCTCCCGGACTCTTCTCCTCCTCCCTTCACACATCCCCTCCTCTCACTCACCCATCCCAGCAGCGCCATGAGCTGGCACCCATTGCACACGCCCAGGCTCCACGTGTCTTCCCGCTGGTAGAACGCGTCGAACTGGGCTTTAAGCCCCGCGTTGAACCGGATCGCCGCCGCCCACCCCTTGGCTGAGTCCAGCACGTCCGCGTAGCTGAAACCGCCCACAAAGATGATTCCCCTGAACTCGTCCAGCCGAGCCCGCCCTTGAAGCAGATCCGATACAGTCACATCCCAAGGCTCCATGCCCGCTGCCCACACCGCTGCTGCCATCTCCCGGTCGCCATTGCTGCCCTCCTCCCTCAGGACAGCCACTTTGGGCTTCGTGGTGGCGGTCATGAGCTGCAGGGGAGCAAAGAGGGGAAAAAGAGGTGGCTCCATGCCCGCCGCCCACACCGCTGCTGCCATCTCCCGGTCGCCATTGCTGCCCTCCTCCCTCAGGACAGCCACTCGGGGCTTTGTGGTGGCGGTCATGAGCTGCAGGGGATAAGGGGGAGCGATGGGGAAAGGGGGAGCGATGGGGAAAGGGGGAGCGAAGGAGAGGCGAGAAGAGTCAGTCGCATCCCAAGGCTCCATGCCCGCTTCCCACACCGCTGCCGCCATCTCCCGGTCGCCATTGCTGCCCTCCTCCCTCAGGACAGCCACTCGGGGCTTTGTGGTTGCGGTCATGAGCTGCAGGGGAGCAAAGAGGGGAAAAGGAGGTGGGGCGAGGGTGGGAAAGTGGGCTCCATGCCCGCTGCCCACACCGCTGCCACCATCTCCCGGTCGCCATTGCTGCCCTCCTCGCGTAGGACGGCCACTCGCGGCTTTGTGGCTGCGGTCATGAGCTGCAGCAAAGGAGAAGGGGGAAGAGGGTGGGGAAGTGCGCAGAAAGCTTCGATGTATGCACCTCGTAACATTGCTGCCGCCATCTCACTGTCGCTGCTGCTGCCCTCCTCCCTCGACACAGCCACTCGGGGCTTCGAGATTGCAGTGAGTGGGGGGATTGAGGGGAGTGGGGTAGGAGGGGGGGAATGGGGGGAGAGAGACAGGGTAAATGCACACCGTGACATACCATGTCATCTCAGTCTTCTGCTTTACAGTTCAGTCCGCTTCACACTTCAATCTCGTTTCCACCGTTCATCCCAACAGCCCTAATCCACCCTAACCCACCAACCCACCTCATGTGCAGTCCTGCTCGGGGTGAAAGGAAGCTTCCACGAGGGCTCCTTGCGGTGCTTCAGCCCCTCCATCTCAGCCACAGCACACGTCTCGGTTCGCTGCATCTGCTCCAGCAGAAAGGACGACTCCTCCCACACGTCCCGCCAGGCTGGCATCGACTCCCCCTCTAGCACCGGCACCCCCGCAACCGCCACCGAGAGGAGCGGTGGAGAGGCAGGAGCGGAGGAGGAGGGGGATGTGACTTGGCCAATGACGGTGGCGGGAACCTGGGCGGCGGAGAGCGTGCGCAGTACTTCGTCCTGATTGGCCGGCGCCACCTCGATGACGAGCCCCAGCTCCTCCGCAAAGAGCGCCCCAAACACATCCACCTCCTCCTCCTCTTCCCCTTCGTGTGTGTCAGCAGCAGGCGAGGGCAGGTCGACAGTGACCCCCGTGTTGCCTGCGAAGGCCATCTCGAGAATGGCTGTGATGATGCCGCCGTCGCTCACGTCGTGCCCTGAGGAGACCAGACGCCGACCAATCAGATCCTGGTGTGGTTACAGAAGGAGGGAGAGGAAGGAGCGCAGTTAGAGTTGCATGCAGGGGTGCTGCAGGGTGTTTTTGAGAATTCTCAAAAACACCCTGCAGCATGCAGGGGTGGGTGGGAGCCACCTTGAAGCTTAAAACCTGCGGGCCAAGAAGTTCAACGTTAGGAAGCTTGGTTGGGGCGAGCAATACGATTGGGCAAGATCTTGGGTGCGAGGGCCACACTCAACCGAGGTTAGGAAGATTGATCCTATTTGGGCTTTCTTGGCCCTCCGGTTTTAAACCCCAAACCTTCAACCCAAATGCAGCAAACCCAGATTTCAACCCCAGGGCTGCTCTTCAACACTGACCCATACCTGCACGGCATTGAAGCCACGTTTGAGCAGCGCCACATCAGCATCCGGTGACTCATCGCCTATCTGGTCGTACACGTGGGCGAGGGCCGACCCACCCACGCGCCTGCTGCCTCCGCTCAGGTCCACATGGATCAACACACCTTCGCCTGGGAGCTGTGAGGGGGAAAGGGGTAAGACGGGGGGAGAGGCAGCACACACAGGCATCAGCAAAACCCACCACTTCCATCCATCACTCATCCCACCCACGCGCCTGCTGCCTCCGCTCAGGTCCACATGGATCAACACACCCTCGCCTGGGAGCTGCGAGGGGGAAAGGGGTAAGAGAGCGAAGGAGGGCAGCGACGAAATCAGATGTACAGGCATTGCGACATGCGCCCCGCACCCCGCCCACTCGCCTGTTGCCTCTGCTCAGGTCCACGTGGATCAACACACCCTTGCACGGGAGCTGGGAGACGGGTGGCGGAATGGGCAAAGGAAGAAAGCAAGGGAAGGGAGTAGAGACATTAGATGCACAGGAACCCAACATCCCGTCCACCCGCCTGGTACCTCCTCCGCTCACGTCCACATGGATCAACAAGAACTCGCCTGGGAGCTGTGAGGGGGGCGTGGGAAGAGAAGAAGTGGGGGTGGTAGAGGCATAGACATCAGATGGTTGTACAGCAGTTGACTTTTGAGTTGACTCAAAAGTCAACTAGAGGCATCAGACATCAGATGGTTGTGCAGCAGGAAAACTTTATCTCTTCTTGGTTGACAAGTCGGGAGTAATACTGAGTGTGATATCAGGGCAGGAAATATTGTAATACCCGGCCAGGCAAGACCTGAAAATGATTGAATGCCTCCCTCCCTCACCTTGAGGTCGGGCGTGACAGTGAGGGTGATATCTGGGCACGTGACATACGCGCTCAGCACCAGGTTCCCAGGCGCCATCACTGTCTCTCCCCCCGCCTGCACACGGACACACAGGGCATGGGAGGGGGTGCAAAGAAGGTGGGCAGAGGAGTGGGGAAGAGAGGAAGGGTGCCATACGCGCTCAGCACCAGGTTGCCAGGCGCCATCACTTTCTCTCCCCCCGCCTGCACACACACACACAAGGGGGAGGAAGGACGGACACGGAGAGGAGAGACGGGAGAGGAATGGTCAGGCATGCATTCCCAGCACCACATCTCTTCGTAAGTGCCACCACAGCAGCATCATACAATCACACCCGGGATTCATGCCGGTTACAAGCACATTCACCATCCACTCACCGTAGCAGCCATGGACAAACTATCTTTGGCCCCATCCACGGCAATCCCCAGTGCCAGCATCGCCTCCTTGAGCGCCACTGTAGCATCGTACATGGCTGCTGGTGTTGGTGTTGCACCCACTCCCATGAGTTCGTTACAGCCACACCCACTCACCGTAGCAGCCATGGACAAACTATCCTTGCCCCCGTCCAAAGCAATCCCCAGCGCCAGCATCGCCTCCTTGAGCACCGCTGCTGCATCGACATGGCTGGTGATGCTGCATCGACATGGCTGGTGATGCTGCATCGACATGGCTGGTGATGCTGCATCGACATGGCTGGTGATGCTGCATCGACATGGCTGGTGATGCTGCATCGACATGGCTGGTGATGCTGCATCGACATGGCTGGTGATGCTGCATCGACATGGCTGGTGATGCTGCATCGACATGGCTGGTGATGCTGCATCGACATGGCTGGTGATGCTGCATCGACATGGTTGGTGATGCTGCATCGACATGGCTGGTGATGCTGCATCGACATGGCTGGTGATGCTGCATCGACATGGCTGGTGATGCTGCATCGACATGGCTGGTGATGCTGCATCGACATGGCTGGTGATGCTGCATCGACATGGCTGGTGATGCTGCATCGACATGGCTGGTGATGCTGCATCGACATGGCTGGTGATGCTGCATCGACATGGCTGGTGATGCTGCATTGACATGGCTGGTGATGCTGCATCGACATGGCTGGTGATGCTGCATCGACATGGCTGGTGATGCTGCATCGACATGGCTGGTGATGCTGCATCGACATGGCTGGTGATGCTGCATCGACATGGCTGGTGATGCTGCATTGACATGGCTGGTGATGCTGCATCGACATGGCTGGTGATGCTGCATCGACATGGCTGGTGATGCTGCATCGACATGGCTGGTGATGCTGCACTGACTCACACCCATGACTCGCCCTCACGACCAGCACACCAACTCACCGTAGCAGCCATAGACAAACTGTCCTTGCCACCGTCAACCGCAATTTCCCAGTTCCAGCATCCCCTCCTTGAGTGCCCCTGCAGCGTCGTACATGGCTGCCCCCTTGCCGCTGTTGGTGCTGCACCCGCACCAGTAAGTCACTCTCGTGACAGTCAGAACCACTCACCGTAGCTGCCATAGACAGGCTGTCTTTGCCCCCGTCAACCGCAATTCCCAGTTCCAGCATCGCCTCTTTGAGCGCCACTGCAGCGTCGTACATGGCTGCCCCCTCGCCGCCCATCTTGGCTGCATACATCCAGTTGCCACTCGCCTTCACGTCCTCCAGCGCTGTGACCTGGGGAACCATGGGAAGGGGATTGGCGGATAAGCATGAAGCATGGGAGGGGAAGGAGGATGAGCATCATAGGTGGCTGCCCCCTCGCCGCCCATCTTGGCTGCATACATCCAGTTGCCACTCGCCTTCACGTCCTCCAATGCTGTGACCTGGGGAAGCATGGGAAGGGAATTGGCGGATAGGCATGAAGCAAGTAGAGGGGAAGGGGGATGAGCATCACTAGGCACGGGTGGCTGCCCCCTAGCCACCCCTAGCCATCACAAACAAGGTGGAACGGAATGCACGACGTAGCTTCAAGCAGGGAGGAGACATGTTCCTGGGATCTACAATAGTTGTTTCCACTGCTTGAAACGATATCTACAGTGATGCAATGCGAGTCACGGTTGCTCCAGCAGCACCCATCTTCACCGCATAGCATACATCTGGATGCGACTACCAGCTGTTATCAGCTGGCTATTGCAACAGCCCATGCCACACCAGCCCACCTTTGCCCACACGAGGTTGCTGAGGGACCTCCCCACTGAGGGCCCTCCCCACCGCCATCTGCGCCATGGCTGCTGTGCTCGCGTGGTTGCCATGGGCTAGCCCCACATGGGGTAGCCCCACATGGCGAGCATGGCAACCATGCGAGCACATGGGGCTAGCTGCCATGCGAGCACATGGGGCTAGCTGCCATGCAAGCACATCATGCATCAAACCAGCTGCTAGCCCGCATGCTGAAGCCCATGCAGCGTCAGCCCAACGCGCAACATGGACCCACCTTGGCCCACACAAGGTTGGTGAGAGCCTCCCCTATTGCCATGCGCGCCATGGCTGCTGGATTGATGAGGCCCTGGAGGGAAGCAGAGACGGGGAGGAGAGAGAGAGCAGGGAGGGAGGTGTGTTGTTGGGGCGAGTCATGCCATGCGAATTGGGAGACAGGCAAGAAGTGGGACAGCTTGCCATGCGTGCCATGGCTGCTGGATTGATGAGGCCCTGGAGGGAAGCAGAGGAGGGGAGGGGGAAGCAGGGAGGCAAGAGTGTGCTGAGGTGAGATTGCTGTACACGCTGGCGAACCAAGGCGTGTAGTAAGTCGATCTTTTTGAGTCGACTCAGAAATCGACTTACTACACGCGGGAGGGAGGCAAGAGTGTGCTGAGGTGAGATTGCTGTTCACGCAGGCGACCCAAGGCTTTTGAGTCGACTCAAAAGTCAACGAGCAGGGAGGCAAGAGTGTGCTGAGGTGAGATTGGTGTACACGCTGGCGAACCAAGGCGTGTAGTAAGTCGATCTTTTTGAGTCGACTCAGAAATCGACTTACTACACGCGGGAGGGAGGCAAGAGTGTGCTGAGGTGAGATTGCTGTTCACGCAGGCGACCCAAGGCTTTTGAGTCGACTCAAAAGTCAACGAGCAGGGAGGCAAGAGTGTGCTGAGGTGAGATTGGTGTACACGCTGGCGAACCAAGGCGTGTAGTAAGTCGATCTTTTTGAGTCGACTCAGAAATCGACTTACTACACGCGGGAGGGAGGCAAGAGTGTGCTGAGGTGAGATTGCTGTTCACGCAGGCGACCCAAGGCTTTTGAGTCGACTCAAAAGTCAACGAGCAGGGAGGCAAGAGTGTGCTGAGGTGAGATTGGTGTACACGCGGGCGACCCAAGGCTCCACCCCAGCCTTGCGCTCGAGCATGCTTTCCATCCCTCTGTTGCCTGCAACTGAGCCTGAGACCTCTCAGCAGCCAGGTTGACGTTTGAGTCGACTCAAAAGCCACCCCAGCCTTGCGCTCGAGCATGCTTTCCACCCCAGCCTTGCGCTCGAGCATGCTTTCCACCCCAGCCTTGCGCTCGAGCATGCTTTCCACCCCAGCCTTGCGCTCGAGCATGCTTTCCACCCCAGCCTTGCGCTCGAGCATGCTTTCCACCCCAGCCTTGCGCTCGAGCATGCTTTCCACCCCAGCCTTGCGCTCGAGCATGCTTTCCACCCCAGCCTTGCGCTCGAGCATGCTTTCCACCCCAGCCTTGCGCTCGAGCATGCTTTCCACCCCAGCCTTGCGCTCGAGCATGCTTTCCACCCCAGCCTTGCGCTCGAGCATGCTTTCCGTCCCTCTGTTACCTGCAACTGAGCCTGAGACCTTTCAGCAGCCAGGCTGCTATAGCTGCTTCTGTGGGACTATGAGATGTCCCATGGGGCTGCAATGGCAGCTGCTTCTGTGTGACTATGAGATGTCACATGGGGCTGCAATGGCTGCTGGCGAAAGAGAAGGCAGCAGGCGCAACATAACCTCACATCTTCTACATAAATCCTTCACAAAGAAGAGGCTGAGCGGAGTAAAAAGGGCATGTAGGAATTGTGTTGTAGTCCACGTGGCATACCTTGATTGGCTGCTCCCCGATGGCGCATGCTGCTCCCGTGATGCCTGTATGGGTCTGCGCAGTCATCAGCCAACCCATGCACGTGTGCGATGCCCATCCCCCATCCCCATCCCCCATCCCCCATGCCCCATCCCCATGCCCCATGCCCCATGCCCCACCCCCATGCCCCATCCCCCATCCCCATGCCCCATAGCCCATCCCCCATCCCCAAAGCCCCAAGGCGCAAGCCCCAAGACCCACACGCCCCACACACAATGCAACATGCACCATCCCGCCCATGCCCATGCACCATCCAAAGGAAAGAGCCCAGCAGATAGGCAATGGAAGAACCATTATGTCATGAAAGCATGCGGCCAAAGGGGAGAGAGCGGGGAAGGGTTGGGTACGGGGGAACGAGGGGACGAGGGGACGAGGGGGGAAAGGGGAGGGGCGAGGGGGGACAATTGGGACTTGTTGGGTTCATGCAGCACTTTGAACCATTCTTGAGTGCATGCAGCATAGCATGGCACGGATGGATGAAAAGTTAAGCTGGAAGCAAAAAGGAGGCCACAGATGACTGCTGCCACGTGGACAACGGATATACTGTCAGCAAGGGGGCCGTACCTGAGCAATGACTGCCACGTCAGCAAGGGTGATCTGCAGCGGGCCCACGGTCTGCTGCTGCGCCACGAGGCCCGTGACACAGCGATCCACCTGGATGATTGGGGAGGGGGGAGGGGGGAGGTGGGAAGGGGGAGGGGGGTTGGGAAGATAGAGAAGGGTGTCGTCAGGTGACTGCTGCTGCTGCTGCACCTCCACCGCGAGGCCCATGAGACAGTGTTGAGTTGACCCAGCACAGAGGAAGGGGGAGGAGAGAGGGCGATGGTGAAAGAGGGAAGTAAGAGTGCGGAGGCGAAGGAAAAAAAACAAAAAAAAGAGTGCGCATGGGTGTTTATTGGTGGCCGTGGCACTCCTTACCCTAATTGACCATTCCACACCTACCTTTGGCCATACCTGGACAGTCAGGAAGCATCTCAGTGCAACCATGCCACCTACAGGCAATCCAGCACTTGGAAGGCCGCCCATATGTTTGTGGTGAGGAATAGCTGGGTGTCCTGCGAGTTTTGAGGCGCCTCAAAAATAGCTGGGTGTCCTGCGAGAGTCATGAAAGCAAATTCTCAAGAGGCCCCTCTCGCTACCCATGCCCACTGCATCCCATCCCATCCCATTCCCATACCTTGGTGGTGAGGAAGCGCTTGGAAGCAACAGAAGGCAGCCGCAGCACACGCTTGAGCGCCTCTGCCACGGTCAGAGCAGGGGGCAGCTCCAGAGGCTCCTTCTCCCAACTCTCAACACTCTCCATACCCATACCTGCCTTTCCTCCTACCCCTACCAGACGCCACCCGTGGCCGTACCTTGGTGGTGAGGAAGCGCTTGGATGCAACGGAAGGCAGCCTGAGCACCCTCTTGAGCGCCTCTGCCACGGTCAGCGCTGGAGGCAGCTCCAGAGGCTCCCTTTCATCCGTGCTCCGTACGAAGTCAAATCGCTTGCTGGGCATGTCGCCCAGCACCTTGTCGAGATCGAGGTCCACTGCTGGGAGGGGAGGGGCGTGGCCTGCCGCTGCCGCCTTCTGCTGCTCCCTGGAGTCGAATAGAACCACCTTGCCGGAACCACTGGGGGGGAGAGGGGGAAGACACCGAATGTGAAGAAGAATTGGGGGGAAAGAGGGGGTATTGGCCGGGGGAACAGAGCGGGAGGATGTCACAGGCTTATCAAACAGCCTGGTGCTGCTGCTGCCAGGAGACGATGTTGCCTCCAGTTAATACATCAAGCACACAGCATTCAGCCTATAAGGAGTACAAAGGACAGAACGCTCACCTGATGGTTCCAATGACAGCCATGGAGAGCCTCTCTCGCTCGCAGATTGACCGCAGCAGTGCCTCGCTTTCAGGCCGCGCCAGGAGGGCGTCCTGATGCACGCACAGGAAGGGGAAGGGTAGGGAAAGAATTGGAAGGGGATCAGAACTTCTGAGGAGGCTGGAAGGCAGATGGACCGCAGCAGCGCCTCACTCTGTGGGCGGGCCAGGAGGGCGTCCTGATGCACGCACAGGAAGGGGAAAGGGGGAGGTAGTGGGGTTAAGGGAAGAATTGGAAGGGGAAGAAGGCTTCTCATGAGGAGACGGGAGAAGGAGAAAAGAGGGAGTAGGAAGGAGAGGGGAAAGAGAAGGGAGAGATGGTATTCTAGTAGGATGTTGTGTTCCTAAATACCAGGATGAGGAGAGCAGACGTCAATCCTCCCCACCCACCCATCTGACTCCCTCCCGCCCCCACAGCTCACCTGCTCCTGGTACTCGGCGCCCCAGATCTCAAGCACGGACGTGGTCTCATCGCCCACAACCACTATGGTATGGACTGCACATCCCCACCACTCTTCCCCCCCACATCCATTGCCCCACAGCTCACCTGCTCCTGGTACTCGGCGCCCCAGATCTCGAGCACCGACATGGTTTCATCGCCCACCACGATCGACCGCACGTCAATCTCCGCCCCCTGTGGGTAGATGATCTCCTTCACCACGTTGCAGTTGCCTCCCGCGCCCTGTGAGAGTGGAAAGAGAAGCAAGTAACACAGCAGGTAGGGAGAGAGTAAGGTAGGAGTGTTATGGTGGAGAGAGGGTGAGGGACAGCTTAAAGAGCAGGGCGGGCAGGGGCGGCATCATAGTCTCCGTCATTAGAAAATGGCATGGCATAGGATTGCTCACCTGGTCGCGGATGCTGAGGATGGGGTTCCTATCGCCCAGCTCCACACACATGCGCACCACGCAATTCAGCCTCTACCGCGTGACATGTAATGTAGAATCCCCCAGTAAACATGGCTGGGAATCATAGTTGGTACTTAACGTTTTTAAGGGTCACGTGAACGTAAACTTACGCTTGAGTTTACCTTTACGTTTTCTTACTCGTAATTTTACGTAAAGTCGCACGGGCAGGGCAAAAAAAAAAAAAAAATGGCTGCGAAATGGACAAATCTGACTGATATGAGGTGGGAGACGCTGTGACATGTCCGTGTAGATTTGGGGCATCTGTAAGTTGATGTAATAATGTGCTAACATGCTTGGGCATAGAAGAACCAAGCTAGTGATTGATTAGGCGCTTCCCATGCAGCCACTTAGGGCGATGAATTCTTATCTTTCCGGGCAGCCACTAAATGTTTCTGGCTGACCGTAAGCGTAAAGCTGTTTTGGGCCCACGTAAGTTAACGTAAGTTTACTACGTAAAGTCACGTACACGTAAACCACCGTAAACGTAAAATGCCAACTAAGCTGGGAATGCCTCACCTGGTCGTGGATGCTGAGGATGGGGTTCTTGTCGCCCAGCTCCACACACGTGCGCACCACGCGGTTCAGCTTCTGGGCCATCTCCGCGTCACCCCTCTGCACCGCATTGAAATCCATCTCTGCGTCCCGCGTGCCAGACACCATGCTGCTGGCCGCACCTCCGCCCATGCCAATGCGGTATGCCGGGCCTCCGATCTGCACAGGGGGCAGGGGAGGGGAGGGGGGGAGGGATGGGGGGATACAGAGCATCATATGAAAAGGGGTCACGTTGGGGAGGTTTTTCTGCATCCATTATTCCAGAATCCAGACATGACAAAACCAGGTCAAGCACTTCTCCCGATCGCCTTCACATGTGATGAATCAAGTTGACAACCGCTAGTTTGCCTTGACTGACCTTGACTCGCGTTGACTGACCTTGACTCGTGTTGACTCGCGTTGACTGACTCACCTTGACCACGAGCATGCCAACGTCTGGCTCCTCCTTCACTAAATGCCGGTGGTCAATCTGCCCGATACCCCCGCTGAAAATGATCGGCTTCAGCCACTCCTTCCCCCTCCCCACACACGTTGACTAGCGCTGACTAGCACTGACTCGCGTTGACTCTCATTCACTCACCTTGACCACGAGCATGCCCACGTCTGGCTCCTCCTTCACCAGGTGCCGGTGGTCGATCTGCCCGATACCCCCGCTGAACATGATGGGCTTCAGCCACTCCCGCCTCTCCCCGCTCGCCAGCCGCATCCCGAACGTGCGCGTGTAGCCCTGGATGAGCGGCTCCCCGAACTTGTTGCCATAGTCTGACGCACCGTCGCTGGCATCAAGAAGAATCTGAAGGAGAGTGGTGGACGGGGAGGGCGGTGGTCAGGTGGTGAGGGGACAGAGAGGGGGATTGACGGTGGGTGCATCCCGAACGTGCGTGTGTAGCCCTGGATGAGAGGCTCCCCGAACTTGTTGCCATAGTCCGACGCGCCGTCACTGGCATCTAGCAGGATCTGAAGGAGAGTGGTGGAAGGGGAGAGCGGGGGTCAGGTGGTGAGTGAGGGGGCAGCAAGTGGACAGGTATCCCTGAATCAGCGGCTCCCCAAACTTGTTGCCATAGTCTGATGCACCATCGCTGGCATCAAGAAGAATCTGGGGCGGAACGTTGGGGAAGGAGGGAAGAGTATGGTGGAGAAATGGGAGGGTGGAGGTTGAGGAATGGCAAGGGGGTGGGAGGGTGCGTGCCAGACGTGCGAGTGTAGCCTTGGATAAAGGGCTCCCCGAACTTGTTGCCATAGTCCGATGCACCGTCGCTGGCATCGAGCAGGATCTGGCATAGAGCGGGGGAAGGGGAGGGCGGGGGTCAGGTGTTGAGGGGGCAGACGGGGATCCGAGGGTGGGTGGGTGTATCCCAAACGTGCGTGTGTAGCCCTGGATAAGCGGCTCTCCGAACTTGTTGTCGTAGTCCAACGCACCGTGGCTTGCGTCCAAAAGAATTTGAAGAAGTGATTTGAAGAGTGGGGGAGGGGGACGGACAGATAACGTGCTTCCTGATTGAACGAAACGACAAGTCATCCAACTTTATGTGTGATTGACAAAGTGCTGCAAATCAATGTGCCAAGCAAAGAGAGGTAGGTGCTATCAGGTGCAGGGCTGACCTGGAGCGGTGGAGCAAGGTTGGGAGGGTACACAAACGAGGTGTCTTCCCAGGGCGCTGCATGCCCCTCCATCTGACGTTATGTGATTATAACAAGGGGGAGGAACCAGCGAAGGTCGGCAAGAAAAATAGAGAGGCGAGGTTAGCAAGTCGACCCCACAGTAAATCACAGCGTCAGCAACCACAGTGCATGACAGTGCTGCATAAATCCATCACCCCAACATCCCCTCCCCCTCCCCAGCTTGCACTGACCTGCAAGTTGCCCACGCAATAACCAGCAGTAGCAGCGACCACTAGCGAGCCGACACCTGTCGCGTGCGTGTCACGGATCCGCCCCCCCGCACCCGTCTCGGCCCCAGGGAATGGTGCCACCTGCGGTGGGGAATGTTAGAAAAAGGGACATTGCCGCGCCGGGTAAGTATACATAAATGGAGGTAGAGGGAAATAAAATGGAATCAGAAATCTGGGTATAATAACAAATAGGAGAGCCAGTCCGACACCTATTCCTAGGGATGAGCAAAGAAACGGACACCTGTTCGGTTCGCCTCGAACGGGTTTTGTTTTTTAGCTTAAATTGTTCGCCCGAACGTGTTCGAGGTTCGCCCGAACACGATCGTGTTCGTGGCGCTGCTGCAGAACGCCCCGTGTTGAACACGAACGTGTTCGAGGTTCGCCCGAACACGCCTTCACAGGCGAAAGTCGAACACCCTTTTTTGGGGAAGTCGTTCGGCGAATCGAACAGTGTTCAGTTCGGCAAAAGGCTGTGTTTGTGAAGGGGCGAACACGAACACGTTTGTGTTCGCCCTTTGCTCATCCCTACCAATTCCTGACCCGGGTCCTAGGGAAGATACGACGCTGACTCACAGCGCAGGGGAAGTTGTGCGTCTCAGCAGTGAAGAGAATATCGTAATCCCGCTCCTCAGGCGCCAGCTTTGATGGCTTCCCGGGATTCTCGGGCAGAATGGCGGACACCACACGACCACGGATGGCACTGGCAAAGCGAGTGGGTGGGTTGGTGGGGACAAGGGGACGGAGGGAGGGTGGTGGGAAGAGGCAAAGACAGGGTGTGATGGCTACATGCAGCGAAGCACTTTCTCTGGCATGTTAACCAGTCAGTGACTCGACTGAGACCGCCCTCGAGTGATGATTTGATTTCCCAGCACTCATCAAAAGCACGCTCACTCCTGCCGCTCACCTGGAGTTATCTTTGAAGCCAATGACGGAGTTGTTGGGGTTGGCTGGCAGTGAGTGTGTCCTTCACCAGATCCATCAGCGTGTGCTGCACCTTCTGTCACTAGAAGCACTCATTCCCATCCCATGCCATCCCATAACCACTCCTCACCCATCATTACCGCTCACCTGGAGTTATCTTTGAAGCCAATGACGGAGTTGTTGGGGTTGGCAGTCAGCGTGTCCTTCACCAGATCCATCAGCGTGTGCTGCACCTTCTGCCCGTCCACTGTCAGGTCGCCCTGAGGAGACGCGTGCAAGAATAGGGAGGATTGCGGGGAGGTTGAGTTGCGGGGAGTGTGCAAGATATAAGAGGGAGCAGATCCATCAGCGTGTGCTCCACCTTCTGCCCGTCCACTGTCAAATCGCCCTGGGGAGGTGGGGAGTGGGGGAGAGAGAGTGAGGGAATGGGGGGTATGCAGGCAGGTAAGATGCTGGGATGTGCACAATATGGGACAGATCCATCAGGTAAGGTGGAGGGGAACGCGAAGTGCTCCGAACTAGACTCGGTGCGCAATGTCAAAAGATCCAACTTGGCAGGGATATACAGAGTGGAGACGGCCTATAACGGGGATACAGTGTACCTTGAAGAACCAGTGGCGGCTGTGCTCGGAGTTGGACTGTGCGATGTCAAACAGCTCCACGTTGGTCGGGTCCCGGCCAATGTCCTCACGGAACAGACGCGTGTAGTACTGGAAGGGGGCGGGGGTGGGTGGGGAGGGGGAAGGGGTGATGGGGAGGAGAGAGGGAGAAGGAAGTTAGATCCCTAGAGCCCACTCAAGCCTTGAGCGCCATGTCAAACAGCTCCACGTTGGTGGGGTCCCGCCCGATGTCCTCACGGAACAGACGAGTGTATTGTACTGGTGCGGTGCAAGGGTGAAGGGAATAGGGAAAACAGATAAAGTAAAGCTCTTGAGTCCAGTTATGAGTCTAGCGCCTGATGTCATTCTATCCTCCATTGCAACAGAACAGATCTCCTTCATTTCCCCTTCTTCCTTCAACCACCACCCCTGTCCCACTCATCGAACACCAGCCCCAAATCCCCTTCTAACCCTCAATTTCTGGGGCTATCCGAACTTCTTTCCTCTCTTTCCTCCCTCTCCCCCATCAGCACTCACGTCCAGGTCCCACTCGTGCAACGCCGCACCATTTTCCAGTTGACATCCTTCTATCCTCCCCCTCTCTGTACAGTTACCCCTCCCCTCCCTCACCTCCCAATGAATACTCACATCAAGATCCCACTCATCAAACGCCAGCCCCATGTCCTTGTTGACCTGCTCCAACGCCTTGCGCCCCTCCTGCCCACGCCATGGTTTCATGCGTGCACGGGGAGGGGGGAGAAAGGGGTTGAGGGAAGAGGAGAAACGGGAAGGGAGAATTGGGGGAACAGGGAGTCAGTGCAGGACGCTTGGGGGAAGGCTCGGGCTCATTTTTGTGTTGCTGCCCTCCTGCTCACCATGTGTACATGGTGGGTTACGTATGTTTGGGAGGAAGGGGAAGGCGACGAAGAGGCAGACAGGTTGTGTCAGCGACATAAGGGTGTTTGCAACATAGACGGGGCTTAAAACGGGGATATTGAGGGGAGTAATAGCCATGAACGTGAAGCAGCTCACCTTCATGACAGGGATGTGCACAACAGGAGCGGGAGCAGCGTCCGTGACAAACGTCTCAAGCCGCGACTTATAAACACACTCCGTCATGCGATCATGCACCAAGGCCGCTAGTGCGAACCACAATCTAACGGAGATTAACGCGCATCAGCTCACCTTCATAACTGGGATGCGGACGACAGGCGCGGGAGCAGCGTCCGTGACAAACGTCTCAAGCCGCGACTCGTACACACACTCTGTCATGCGGTCGTGCACCAGCGCTGCAAACGCCGCCCTCTGCTCCTCCGTAAAGGCAGCTGCAGCGTCCACCCCTGGCGCCAGCTGCAGGGCGTAGCGGCGAGAGCGCTCGATGCGAGTCACCTGGGTGGTGGGGACGGCGGGAGGTGGGGGGAGGGGAGTGAGAAAGCGGGCAGCACGTGGGGCATGTGGAGACATGGGAAGTGGTGAGACTCCTCAAGGCCCCAATGTCTGCTGCCCCCTTACCTGTTCCACGCCCCACCACCCTCTGCCCCCTCTAACTTGCTTTAAAACCCATGCCTCCCTCTGCCGCCCTATCTACTTTAGGTCCCCCCGCCTTTCTTGCCGCCCTACCTGCTCCAGGGTGCAGGAGCGGCAGATGGAGACAGCGTTTGTCGACCAGGCCGTGGTAAACGACAAACGAGGCCCCACCTCCACCACCACCACCACCTCCTCCTCCTCCTCTCCCTCCCCTTCCCCCTCCGCTGCAGCGCCAGCGCTAAAAACAGACTCCCGGGTGAGCTTCTCAGGCTCGTACGTCTCAGATAACACCCACACCAGAGCCGCCTCGTGTGCTGCATCCAGAGGTGACGTCAGCTCCACGTTGAAGCACTGCTCCGTGCGGATGCCGATGACGTCAGCCGACACCTTCTCCTGGACCTGAGAAGGAAGAGGGGGGAGTGGACGGGGAGAAGAAGCAGGGGATGGAGGGGGAGAGAGGGGTAGGATTAGACAGAGTCGAGTTTCCAAGCTCGACTCGATCGGGGGAGTAAGAACACCAACGGCGAGAAAGCGGGGGCGGGAGGAACCGACCGTGGCGATCATGCGGGAGGAGGAGGGGGGGGGAGACCAGGTGGAGACGGCTACGCAGCGTCGCAGGCGTACAATAATGTAGGGTATACAACAAAAAACCATGCACGAGAATAAGCCTCAGGTCTCACTTTTCTATGGTGTGTCCCCCCCCCTCCCCCCCGCCGAGCCGAGTTTAACTAGGACTCGACCGAGTGTATGACTAGCGCCGGTCGAGTTTTTAAGAACTCGCCCTTATACAGTCGAGTCTCGAGTCCTGAACCTTGGCAAAAAAACTCGACCGGGTTTCACCCGACTCGAGCTCGAACTCGGTCGAGTTTTGGCCCAGACCGAGTCGAGTTTTACTCGACTCGGTCCGTTGCCCATGTCTAGGTAGGATAGGAGGAACGTGGGAAGCATGCGACAGGGAAGGGGCAGTGGGATGATGGGGGTTGCTGAGACAAGGGGGTAGCGGAATCACGGACATGATAAGTCAGAAAAACGCAGCAAGGAGCAGCGGCAGAGGGAGGGCATGGAGGGAGGGACAAGAGAGACCTCAGCAGAGATTTGTTGCGGCGAAAGAGGGGAGCGGGTGGCGGTTACCTTGTGAAGCAGCGAGTCAAAGGTACCTTGTGAAGCGGTGAGTCAAAGGTACCTTGTGAAGCAGCGAGTCAAAGGTACATTGTGAAGCAGCGAGTCAAAGGTACCTTGTGAAGCAGCGAGTCAAAGGTACCTTGTGAAGCAGCGAGTCAAAGGTACCTTGTGAAGCAGCGAGTCAAAGGTACCTTGTGAAGCAGCGAGTGTGAAGCAGCGAGTTAAAGGTACCTTGTGAAGCAGCGAGTCAAAGGTACCTTGTGAAGCAGCGAGTCAAAGGTACCTTGTGAAGCAGCGAGTCAAAGGTACCTTGTGACGCAGCGAGTCAAAGGTACCTTGTGAAGCAGCGAGTGTGAAGCAGCGAGTCAAAGGTACCTTGTGAAGCAGCGAGTCAAAGGTACCTTGTGAAGCAGCGAGTCAAAGGTACTTTGTGAAGCAGCGAGTCAAAGGTACCTTGTGATGCAGCGAGTCAAAGGTACCTTGTGACGCAGCGAGTCAAAGGTACCTTGTGAAGCAGCGAGTGTGAAGCAGCGAGTCAAAGGTACCTTGTGAAGCAGCGAGTCAAAGGTACCTTGTGAAGCAGCGAGTCAAAGGTACCTTGTGAAGCAGCGAGTCAAAGGTACCTTGTGAAGCAGCGAGTCAAAGGTACCTTGTGAAGCAGCGAGTCAAAGGTACCTTGTGAAGCAGCAAGTCAAAGGTACCTTGTGAAGCAGCGAGTCAAAGGTACCTTGTGAAGCAGCGAGTCAAAGGTACCTTGTGAAGCAGCGAGTCAAAGGTACCTTGTGAAGCAGCAAGTCAAAGGTACCTTGTGAAGCAGCGAGTCAAAGGTACCTTGTGAAGCAGCGAGTCAAAGGTACCTTGTGAAGCAGCGAGTCAAAGGTACCTTGTGAAGCAGCGAGTCAAAGGTACCTTGTGAAGCAGCGAGTCTGTGGCAGCGTCGGAGAGGAGTGGGTGGCGGTAGAAGTGGGTGACCGCACGTGCATGGGACGAGGCAGACGGGGCTGACTCGCTGCTCTCCGCCACCACCGCATCGCCCTGCGGGAGAAACCGGGATGGATGAAAAGGGAACGTCAAGGGTACATCGTCCTACCCCGTGTCAGCTCATTGCGTGTCAGCTCACTGCATGTCAGCTCATTGCATGTCGGCTCATTGCATATCGGCTCACTGCGTGTCACTCATTTAAAAGCCCGATATTGTCACGTCAGCAGTGTCGCTGATGTGCCAACACAGTATCCTTTCCCGTTCTCAGTCCTCCGTCCTCCGTCCCTCGTCCCCCCTGCTCCATTCCCTATCCCAGAAGCCTGACAAGGGGTTAGGGTGCACCCTGAGACTGTGTACACTATTTTACAGTAAGCTGCTCTCAGCAGCGACCGCATTGCCCTGCGCAATAGGATGAGAGTATGTTCCCCCTCTCTCGCACGCCCCCCTCCTTTTATCTCTGCCGGGTGAGAAGGTTCACTACTCACCGACACTGCCTTTGGGGTCTGACCAGCCGTCGCCACCACAACAGACCGCGCTACGCCACGTGGCAGCACCACTGGCGCCGGGCAAGAAACGATAGTTCCCGGAGCCAGGTTCCGGGCAGCAGAAATGTTTCGAGATCCGAGCCATATGCTACTGAGCCGTGCAGCGCCAACTCCGCCGCTGGCTGTGGGGACAATGGCAGAGCGCAAACGCGTGCGCGGATGGCGGGAAGGGGTGCGCGGGAAGCAGGGGGAGACGCCGAGCGCAAGCGCGCGCGGCTGCAGCAGGCACGCGGAAAGCTGTCCCTCCATGGCCGCGGGACGCAGCGCCCTTCGGCAAAATCAAATCCCGGCGATTGTGCTGAAATGCGGGCGAAAGATCGGAGCACGTGCAAAGGACGGCGGTACTAAGGGATATGCTGATTGAAGATATGAATGTGACGGCGGAAACAGATAATGAGGGGAACAACGGGAAAAGCGGACGCAGGCAGGATACAGTGGTAGCTAGAGAGATTGGAGAGGTGTGGGAGATCAAGGAGCAGGGCTTCGATCAATCGGATCTGAGACAGATTATTCACGCACGGGCAGTTGAAGTTCACGGAACTGACTCCAAGGGTCGTCGTGTCCCTAAATGCTGCCAAGTATAGGTACGAACGAGAGGAAGGCCACGCCTAGAAGGAAAATAATGAACGAAAGAAAGAAAAGTCACCTGCTAAAGACACGAGCTGGAAAGAGCGTTTCCCTCAGGCGTTTCAGCCTTCGTTTCTGCACAAAAAAACCGTACCGCCAGGCGACTCGTGATCCGGCTTGAGTGAACAAGCGCTACGCACAGAGAAGATCAACGCCAGACAAGTCACACAAATCCAAATAAAACCCAGAACTTCCTTTTGCTTGGTTGCTTGAACCAGAGCGGGTGAACGGGAGGGAAGCTGGGCTGACGAGGTTGGGGTCAAAAGGCTGAGTGGGGTGTGCGTAATTCACTGAAAGCAAAATGACAATATCGAGGCTCGCTGGGGTGGCGGCCAGGTGTGCAGGAAAATTGGCGCGCGGAGCGACAATCATTTGCTTGGGCCGTGGGGGAAGGGTCCCGCCAAATCGACTTCTGAATTCTAAGAGTGCAGTACCGTGCGGTACGGTGCTTGATGCATGCCCTTCCACAACGGCCGCTAGCGGCGTCAGATCTTTCCGCCAGCCTGGGCTGGGCTCATGGAAGCGGGGAACAGGCGGACATTGAGAATATCGAGCTGATCTGGGCGCGCTTTTCCAGCGTGACAACATGCGATTGGTCGATTTGCAAGTGCTGAAAAGGGTAGTTCGAATATCGACCAACTAATTTCCTGACACGTACACCAATACCGGTTTATACATTATAAACAGCTTGGAGTGCCTAAACCCTGTTTCATGTGCTACAATGGCAGAGGGCTAGCATACATGTTGAAACACAAATCGAAGTGAGCCCATCTAATCATCCACGTGGCAGGGCATGTCCATAACACTCCAAAATCACCCTTCTTCTCCAAACTCTTCTGTGAACTTCTCTTGAATCTTTAAATCGTCTTTGCTCACTGTTGGCTTCTGTCGTGACAACACCTTGTCAAAATCAGACTTCATGATGGGTGGAGGAACAATCTGCAGCAAAATAAGAGTGAAGGCAATCCAGGACAAATTAGCCCCAAGAAAAGCAGCGCACCAAAAGTAGTAAGCCAAAATGTGATGACATGAAAAAGCGTGCTTGCCTACTCGAAATGCAACCCATGGTGTTTGGCTTTCACATACACCCTATCACCAGGTTCCTCCCACCACCTCCCCACCTCCACCCTTCAAGGGTTCCCTACCCTTCCCTGCCCTTCCCTTTCTCTACCCGGTCTCACCTTCTCCCCAAGCCCCTGCGCTGCAAGCTCCTCCATGGTGGTCTGAATGGCGCCTGGCTCCCGTGGTCCACACGGCATGTAACACACGTCCCCGTCTTTCGGCACCTGGTGAGACGGGAGGGGGGAGGGAGAGGGGAGAGAGAGGGGAGGGAAGGGAAACATGGCGGTGGAAGGTGGGATCCATGGCGGTGTGACTCTAATAGCGCCTGGCTCCCTGTGCCCACATGGCAAGTAGCACTTTTCCCTGTGCCTCTTGGCAAGAGATGGGTGATGGGGATACACGGGGAGCAGGGGGAGTGGGAAGGGGGAGGGGGCGACGGGGGGGGGGGGGGGGGGGGGGGGAGGGAAAGGGGGGGTGGGGTGGGGTGGTTGGAAGCCAGAGCATCTGAAAGGCAAAGAAAGAAGAGTGCAAGACGTATTTGGGACCACGAAGACGAAAGCATTGACAAAGTGAGAGTAGGTTTAACAAAAGGGATGGTGGAAGACAGACAGGAACTAGCTTCTGCCGCAGCCGACATATCGTTCTTGGTAGAGAGAGAGGTGGGATAGGATGTGAAACAGAAGCCACCGGTCCAAATAACTGAATTTGTTGACCAGACAACGTGACGTGTATTGAATGCCACACAATCTGTGTCTCACCTTCTTGAAATGCATGGCATCTTGCGTCTTCCGAACGGGCTCAAACAGGACATCCTTCACCTGGTGATACACACATGGTAGGGCATGGGGGGATAACACCATGAGGAGCATGCATCCGCTGAACGATTCAGGTCGAGGAGGTCGCACGGCAGGAGAGACAGAACATTGGGCGAAACGTCAAAGGGAACACATGAGGACGCTGGAGATGTTAGACTGAGAAGGAGCTGGCATGTGAAGCAGCACCAACAGGCACTATCATAAGCAACCTAACGCTACCAGAAACAGTTTCAACTTACGCAGACTGATATATCCGACCCCGAGAATCCATCTGTCTTCTGAGCCAGCTCCTCAAAGTCCTTCTCTGACAAGCTGTAGGGCGTGTCTCCCAGATGCACCTGCAGAGGAGCAGAAAGAAATGGGTGGGAGCGATTGACTGGGCAGAGGACTCATGACGTTTCTTCCACCAAGACACGCTGTAGAGCATGCAGATCAGACGCACCTCTGTGGTAAGGATGGGGTGGGGACTTTGCAGTCGAAACTATTGGAGGCACCGCGAGGCACTTCAAGGCACCTCAAACACCGTGCACTTGCCTAACAGAAACACTACGCATGTGCCTGTCTCACTCACCTTGAACATGTGCTGCCTGGCCTTCACATCCGGTAGTGGGATGTAGATTCTCTTGTCAAAGCGCCGACGCACCGCCTGCGAGGAAGTGCAGACAGCAGTGGAAACAAGGAAACTTTGGATAATAGCAGGGGATGTGGCAGGGAAACGAGGGGGGATCATTGGGGGAGAGGGGGAACGGCGTATTAGTGAGGCGATTGGGGTTGGGGAGGGGACAACAACAAACAAAGGAGATAGCGAGCAAGCAGCATGGAAATAGCACACTTACCTGGTCGAGGGAGTACGGCGTGTTGGTGGCAGCGAGCACCAGCACCTTGTTTGTTGACCTCCGTGCCCATTTTGTGAGGCGCATCAAGAACGAGGCAAAGAGCATGAAAGCAGCGTGCTCACCTGGTCGAGGGAGTACGGCGTGTTGGTGGCAGCGAGCACCAGCACCTTGTTGTCCTCCGTGCCCACACCCTGGGGCGGGAGGGAGGGAGGGAGGCAGGGAGGGAGGGAGGGAGGGAGCGAGGGAGGGAGGGAGGGAGGGAGAAATGTTGTTAACTGGTCACTGCCTCACCCTTCCCCAACTGCTAACCGCGTCAGACACTAACCCTCTCACCCATCCTCCTCCTTCACCTGGAGATGTAAAACCAGTCTCATGCATCTCACTCCCTCCCTTCCCTGAGTCCGTCTTATCACAACCCACCTCACAATCATCCTTGATACCTGCATCTGGACGAAGAGCTCTGTATTGATGTGTACTCGCTCTTTCCCTTCCCTGACTGTCACCCACCTGCACATTAGCCCCTCACGCTCCTCCTTGTCACCTGCATCTGAACGAGGAACTCTGTCTTGATGCGCCGTGACGCCTCGCTCTCGTTGCCCTCGCCTCTCTGGCCGCACAGCGAGTCGATCTCGTCGATAAAGATGATGGAGGGCGCACTCTCCCGCGCCATCTGAAACAGATTCGCCACCAGCTTCTCGCTCTCGCCCATCCACTTGGACACCAGGTCCGACGATGAGATGCTGCAGAGGGGGTGGTGGGGAGAGGGGAAAGGGAGGGTAGGAGAACGTGGGTGGGGGAGAGAGTTGGACATAAGTGGTGCACCATCATAGCTTCTCGCTGTCTCCCATCCACTTAGACACGAGGTCCGACGACGAGATGCTGAGAAGAGGGAGGAATGGAGGGGAAGAAGGGAGGGGGGAGAGGGGGGGTGGGTGGGAGGAGGGTGGAGGATGGGGGGTTGAAAGAAGTGTTACAAGGTGCACCGCCACCAGCTTCTCGCTCTCGCCCATCCACTTGGACACCAGGTCGGACGGTGAGATGCTGCAGGGCAGAGAGGTGTGCGTGGAGAGGGGGAGGGGGGTATGGGTGTTACGAGGTGCGCCATTATAGCTTCTCGCTCCTGCCCATCCACTTAGACACCAGGTCGGACGGTGAGTTGTGGCAGAAAAGGGGAGGGGCCAGGTGGAATGGGGAGGAGGGGAGCTATAGGAGGGTGTCGGGGTCAGGCCTTGAGAGCTACAACAGGAGGAATGTTCAAAATTTAACCACAAACCAGCATTCCAATCAGTCCCCCAAGCTAACCTGAAGAAGGTGGAATCTGCCTCCATGGCGACAGCTTGGCAGGACATGACCTGTGGGTGTCTGGAGAGCCATGCGAGAAAGAATCCCCCAAAATCGACCACGAAATAACATTCCAGTCCAGTCCAGCCCGCGGATTAACCTGAAGAAGGTGGAACTGGCCCCCATGGCAATGGCCTTGGCGACACACGCCTTGCCTGTGCCTGGAGAACCATACCAGACGAGACTGCCCCTATCTAACCACACGACAGCATTCCAGTCACATCCCAAGACTAACCTGAAGAAGGTGGAGTCGGCCTCCGTGGCGACGGCTTTGGCCAGATACGACTTGCCCGTGCCTGGCGGGCCGTACAGGAGGAACGCTCTCCATGGCCGCCTCTTGCCTGGCATAAATAGAGGCACAGACATGAATTCCACGGATGTGAGCCATTTGAAGCATGTGCATGTCGGCTTTCGGAATGGATGTTAGCAACACGTGATGGTGTAGAGTGTAAGTGGTGTAGAGAGTAAAATTTGGTTTCTATGGCAACATTGATTAAATGCAAGACGTCATAGAATAACTGGGTTCACTACGTGCGTAACAGCAAGAGAAGGTCAGTCAGCTGGCAATGAGAGCGCGCGAGGTACTCAGCAGTGAAAAACTGCGGGAATTTAACTGGCAGACTGACCGCTTTCTGAAGATTTTTGAGGCGCCTAAAAATTTGCCAATGGGGAGCGCGAGGTACTCGCCTGTGAAAAACTGCGGGAATTTGACTGGCAGGATGACCGCTTCCTGTAGCGCCTGCTTTGCGCCTTCCAATCCTGCCACGTCGGACCACTTGATGTTCGGCTTCTCTCGCACAATGGCCGAATTCAACCCCGATCGAAGCTTCATGTTGTCGGCGTCGTCATCCCCACCACCACCAGCTCCGCCTTTCTTCCCCTTCGGCTTGATGGCAGACGCCGCGTCTCCCGGCGCTCCGTTCTGCGGTGCTCCTTCCAGTACCTCCTTAATCTGCTCGGCTCGATCTAGGTATTCCACGAACTTGGCCTGAATCGCGTCTTTAATCTTCGGGTTCTTCTCGTACTTCAAGTGGGTCTTAAAATACTCGAGCGCGTTCATGTAAAGAGGCAAGGCCTTGGCATAGTTGCCAGCTGTATCCTCCTGTACAGCCTGCTTCGCATACTCAATCCCTTGCTCCTTAAAGTTACTGTACATGGCAACAGATTTACTGGAAATCGAGGCTCCAGAGAAGATCAGATAGGCTACCGCTGCAAGAATCTCTTGAAAAACTGGGACCGAATGAAGCCTGCGATGTTTTTAACTTGAACGCTCGCCTGTGCGTGTGGCATCCATTGTGTACGATGGTCGAGTTTTCAGAAGCTCGTGATGGAAAGAAAAAGTAAGCAGTTCTTCGCAAACCTACGAAAAAACAGGTTAGCTTCTCCCCGAAACTGGAACTGCAAATGGCGAGCGCAAAATTCCCAACTAATATATGCCCTGACCTCTAAGTCCGTTTGTGAGGTCAGTCAGTGCATAATCGTGGCGAAAGCGGTGAACACAAGCAGCAGCGGAAGACAAGGTGGTGGTCTTGACAAGAGCTGCTGGGAAACAGAATGTCCTCTTCCCTCAGAAAAACTCCTGCGTGTCAATCTCGACAGGGACTTGGCTGTGAAGTCAACAGTTCATCTGAACTTGACTGCCAGGAGGACCGAAATTGAGGATGTGCATTCGCGAGTATCGTCGCGCCTGGACGAACTGCTGCTGGCCCCAATGCGACAATATTTCTCCTTAAGGTTACCACACGGTGTTCGTGCAACTGGAATTGGTATCTGGCGTGGGCTTCGCCGAAAATGATTTTCAGTCTAGGCCTGCAAGGCAAGCAGGAACCTTTGAATGGAACAGCTATGGTACTAGTGTTCTGGAAACAGCCTAGGACAAGGCAACTAGGCAATGGCTGCCGTATTTTAAAATGGAAATTCTGGTACTGTGGTACAATGGTGAGGGAGGGAGACACAAGCAACACTTTTTTTTTTGCTGGTGTGTTTCAGCTGATTGCACCTGAAAACGGCAGATACACAAGTATGTTCAGCAGCAAAACAGGCCTAAAAGGTGTACCTATCACTATGGACAGTCTCTAGGCTAAACGAAAGTGGGTATTCATACATCTATGTACATCATGACCACCAGCACCGTCGGATGTGTGCATCACCTGCACTCTCCAGCTGCTCGTGTGAAATACATGTGCGCCTCTAGATATTTGAACACAATTTCTCCAGTTGAAAATAGAGAGAAGGCGCTCAAAAACAGCGCCAAATCCAAGTTGTCAGGGACCTCAAATAGCAATACGAGTCCTTGAAAAGAACAAATCTGTACCCCATATCGCCATGAGGACATTGGCAGCTTGGCGACAATTCCGTGTGAGTGAAAAAATCCACCCAGTGAAATGCTCTGAGACCCTGACAAGGCTCAAAGCCCCTTGTATGAACGTTGGGAGCTCAAGACTGGTAATGACCTGAGTCAATTGTGTATGTCGACTAGGAACGACGAAAGAGGAGAGTGACAAGGTCGGACGGTTCCTCGGAGAATCGACCTCTGCAATCAACGCATCGTGGAGAATAAAAAATGCGCCTCAGGAATAGTGTGGACGAACCGACAAATACTGAAGCTGTATGGAACACGACAATTTTAACGAAACAACGCCCAACTGTCCCATCACGAGTGCATACCTAAGTGTTGATATCCCCTAAGAATTTCCGGCTCCTCAACTTCGCACTCTGCAACCCAACGAGCTGGAAAGGCCGAACTATCATTGGAGGGACACTCTGGCGGAAATGACACCTCGAGCTCGTCGTCATCATCCCGCTTCATAGTTGCACGGGGATGTCTAATCGCTTTCGATGACCCTTCTTTTGAACACGCTAAAAGGCCGAGTGTTGAAACTCCAAGAATATGAGCGGAGAGGTAAGGGAGGGCCGTGAGCAGCAACACTTGGCCAGGTTCGATAGCACAACCACCCCGTCGCCTTAGGGGCCCCTGTGTTACGAAAAGCATTCAACCCTGGGAAATACTCCAAGTTGCGCCGCTGTGCTACACGGGACTTTCACATCAAGGATCGGAGTGCGCCTGAGCCAGCACAACCCTAATCTTGTTTCATTACTGAGTCGAGGAACCCCTGCCTTCCTACCAGCGGAGTGTCTAAGAACATAAGTCACTCTTCATAATCTCGCTCGTCCTTCCTACAAACTACTCTACTCTTCAACTCAAGCCTTTTCAAGGAGCTCACTAACAAGTCTCCCACCTAAAAAGCTACTCGCCTCGCATCGCAATTGCAGCCACAGCTGGCTTCTGGAATGCTGACGGTGATGTTCAGTTGGCTTGGCTGGTTCAGCAGCACAAATGTGGCCGTGGCGGATCATCTTTCACTGATGAGCCACAAGGTCGAGAAAACAGAAACTGGTGGTTGAACTGCCTTTCATGATTGGGCAGGTGCTTCCGCAAAGCGGAACAGTTTCATCTTCGTCACGTTCGGTACTTGAAGCTGTGACTGTCGCAGCGCCATGTGCTGGCGAGCATCCAGCTATGTGAAGACCTCCACACCACTCGAGATGATCCAAACAATCTGCGTTACAACAGTCTAGGCTGCGCTACATCACTCGGAAATTTTAGGCTATATCATAAATTGCCCTACAATAATATTTACATGCTCATCACAAAAGCAGCACTCGCAATATGTTCACCCCACGGAACTTCAATCTAATAAACGGCATTCAGAACTCCCTCCCGAACCAACATAGATTTCCCCTTATGAAGCACGCATAACATGCCCCCCTTCCTTCTTTAAGAAGTACCACATGCATCAACAACTCCAATACAAACACCAGCGGCCATTCCTTTGCTACCAGCAGACCCAGTCGCGTATCCATCACCAGCAGCTACAAGAATGATCATCACCAGGTCTCTAATGCTGCTGAATATCCCTGTTCCACCTGACGCTATCACCCTCACCACGTTGTCTTCATTAACCATAATACCTACCTTGGCATTTTCCTTCCCTCCTTCTCCACCCCCCCACTATTGTCCCCCGACATCAACAGCAAATGGTTCAGGTCCACGTGTAAACAAACGCCTCATCTCTGACTGCAATTCCTCTCCTTGAAGCACGAGCAAGTCTCGCCTCATAGAAATTCGCCCGTAGCTCAGTACAACATACGCAGGTCGCCTGCTCAGTGCATCATACACCGCAGCGGCCTGCAGCAACAGCTGCTTGTGGCATCCCCGCGGCCCTTCCCCACAATCAACATCCACAACACCACGAGAGTTGCTTTCACTAGTATCACCACCATCAAGGGCAGCATCTGCATGCCTGCCTCCATGCATCATGCCAGCTTCAAGCGAAGGATCAAAATCCTCCTCTTCCTCGACTTCCTCCTCATCCGCCTTCTCATCCGCCTCTATCCATTGCCGTGTATACGGGTCGAATGATGCGATCTGGCGATCCCACCTGCACCGCATCCTCTCCCCTCCTCTTCCTCTCCCATCTCCACCCTGCCAGCTGTGTTCCTTTGGACCAAGCAGGTGCCAGAGACCCCCCTCATGAGCCAGAAAAGAGATCGAGCTGGGGAAGTGAAAACAAGAGAGGAAACAGCATGTCAGCCATGGGAAGGTAATCAGCAATAACAGCAAAAAAGACCCTCTGGCAAGAAACATATGTGATGGTACTAGCCCATGCGTTGTGTCATGTCTCTTTCCACCAAGAGCCTTGTGCTCATCCAACACCAACAACAAGAACAACAATGGCAATCATGGCATGGCATGGCTCCGTCCTCAGTCTTACCCCATCCGCCGGCGTGGAGGAAGTTTTCTCCACTTCCCTTTTGGCATGCCTGCTTCATCCACCTGAGGGTTGATGATAGAGAGAGGAGGCGAGAGGAGGGGGGAGAGAGCAAGAAAAGGAACCGCCTGTTGCTCGAAATTCATGACGATCACCTGGGACATCAGTACAAGGACATGGCATGGCAACATTTACAGTCACAATTGCATGACCGCAACATCCGTGTCAACACCCTACCAAACATGAAGACCATATTGACTTAAACAACAGACTAGTAACAATAATCACCAGCGCACGCACAACAGTACACCATCTAGCCAAAACTCACCCCCAGCACATGCACAATTCTATCGCCAACGCTATCCACATCTCCGTATAATATCTGTCAGCGCAACCAGGGTAAGAACCAAAGGGGGACAGCGAGAGCTAGTCATGGAGAAACGGAGCAGAAACGGAAGAGGAACGAATCAGTAACAGCTGAAAGGCTGCAATGAAATAACTGCAAATGGAACAATATCAAAGTTCGCCGCCATGCAATGTCAAAACAAATGTCAGCCTTGGCCATGCAATGTTAAATAGTTTCAAGCATGGATGGTATGGGCACACGGTACATACCTGTGGCGAGGCGCTGACAAGGACAACATGCGAATCAGAAGCTGCCAGATGCATGTTGAGGCGAGCATTAGGTGGCAACTGCGGACCGCATGTGCAGGCGCCAGTGACAGCGTCACGAATAACAAGGTCACCTCTAAAAAAATTCTGCTTGTTCTAAACTGCTCCTGTCTTGATGAGGAGAGAGGAGCGGGACGATGCAGTTTGGCTTAACCGGAACCACTTGTTTGAAACTGGGAGAATGGTAAGGAGCAGAGGGAAGGAATGGGGAGCTAATGGTCAGGTACGGAATTGTGGGGAGTGGGGTAACCATGAGGGGTGAGAGCTGGTTCATGTAGTACTTCAGAGCATCGTGCTGGTTAATGCTGGAAAAAAATAAAAGTTTTACTCCAGGGATCTGTTAAGGTTCAATACGGGGACGGAAGAGACGCGCGCAGCGGAAGTTACATGAGTCGAAACGCGTGCTTAAAAAAACTTACTGGGTGAGAAGGCATAGAGTGAGTCCAGACGAACGCCTCCTCGAAAGGAAGTGTGGGAGGAGGTGGAAGAGGTGGTGGCGGAAGGGGAAGGGTGGTGATACATTGACGTACACCCAGCTCTCCGTGCGACCCAGTTGTTCCCTGATACTGCACATGCGGAAAGTGGACAGACAACAAACAAAAACACAATAAGTGGCTGACACGCAGTCGAGTCGAACCTGCTCACCACACTATCTCTATCTAAGATTCGAGAAACAAAGTCCAACATTGCGTGGCTTACGGCAGTCATGCTACACCTGTTCCTTACCTGTACACGTGCTCGTCTTCTAGAGCTGCCTTCCAGCGACGACTGACGCACTTTAAGACGCCGTAGCACCCACGTGGCAGCATCGCCAAGCACATCAACGCCGCGTCGTCAGGAATTCCCGGAAGCAGAAACGCGGCGTCCAAACCCATAGTCACACCTGCTTCTAACCGGTTTTATCGTAGAAGGTTCGTCCTCATTACGGACAGTATGACGGCCAGAACACAGAAAATGCAGCGACGACCACGATTGTAGGGTCAGCATATCCATTCGCGTTGCAATAAAGGTCGTTCAAAACGATCTATGCTGCTGACAGGAACCAATCGCGGACAAAAGGTCTTCGATCTACCATCAGCGGTGCCACGGTGCATTGGCTCTACCGATCTATCAACAAGCTGTTTCTTGATATATCGCCAGTTTCGAGAGACCTTGCTCCGCTCGAGTTGGGAACAGCCCACGAATGGCCCTGTTTGAAAAGCCCAAGGAAATTTGTGCTGCAGAGAGACTTGTAAAACAGAGTAGCTCTGATGACTGGAAGGCTGGAAACTTGGCTGGAAAAGCTCAACAGAGCTGCTGGACTTGGCTTTATGAGAGAAAACTTACACTATGCTCAAGATTAACAAGCCCACTAAGGCACAACTTCTTAAGCATTACAATCATGCAGATTGATAGCTCAAATTAGGCTGCTAGACAAGGCAACTTCGTGGAGAACTTAGGCACAATTCAGATCTCATGAACCTTGAGTGACTTGAGAGCCACATGAGGTGCATGAATAAGAAAGCTCTGGAATTCTCTGTCATAGCTGATTTTGTTTGGTAGAAACCTGTAGAAACTGTTGACACTTCTTCTTGAAAACAATTCCGAACTGTATCGAGAATTCGGCTCCAATCTGATTGGTTGAGAAACTTTCTGATTTGTTTGCAAAGCCTTCAATCCGTCACCGACATTCCTCCCTTGCTGCTCCTTGTGTACAAAAGGGCTGGGGTGGCAGAAACTTGATTCTCCAACAGAGAGAACGGGTGAAGGGAGCACCGCAATGGAGATCTGGAGCTGCAGCATGGTCCCCGTTGTACCAGTTCCGTCTCGTTATACAGTCGTATAATCCCAACCAGGTGTACCACCCCACAAGAGTCATCGTTTATGTTTCGTATAATCAATTCGACACCCAGAAACGAAGGGGCTATGAAATCCGGAACACCTGGGTGTCTCAGATTCCCTCTTTGGAATCATGATGCATCTGCTGTCATTTGATGGGACTCTATTTTCACCCTACTTTCCTAGGGACTCTGAACGCTGCCCCACTACAACTTTCTAACCAACCCTACAACTCGTCGGTTCACACAGCCCAAGGGTAGACGGGGTCATGGTTGCCCATGGACAAAAAAATAGGGGCCATTAAATTTGGCAGAGACCAAGTTGTGGCCTAGCTTTACAACAGCAGGTGATAAAAGTTTATACGATTCATACAGCACGATAGCATATTCACATGCTCATGACAAAGGCCCCACCAGCAATATGTTCACCCCATGGCAGTTCAGTCTCATAAACGGCATCCAAACCATTCTCCCAAACCACCATGGGTCCCCCCTCTTGAAGCAAACATAACATGCTCCCCTTCTTTCTTTCAGAGCCATCGCATGCACCAGCAGCACCGATACGCACACCAGCAGCCAATTCTTCGCCACCAGCAAACCCCGACATGTATCCATCACCAGCAGCTACGGGAATGATTATCAACATGTCGCGAATGATGCTGAATATCCCTGTTCCACCTGATGCCATCACCCTCACCACGTTCTCTTCATTGACCAAGAGACCCACCTTCAAATTGTCCTTCCCTCCTTTTTCCCTCCCCCGCTGTTGTCCCTGGTCATCAACAGCCAATGGTTGAGGTCCACGTGTCAATAAATGCCTCATCTCGAGCTGCAAGTCCTCTCCTTGAAGCACAAGCAAGTCTTGCATCGAAGTCTGCTGCAAGTCCCTCAATGCTTCACACGCAGCAGCTGCCTGCAGCAACAGCTGCTTGTGACATCCCCGCGGCCCTTCCCCACAATCAACCTCCACAACACCACGAGAGTTACTTCCACTATCACCACCATCAAGAGCGGCATCTGCATTCCTGCCCCCCTGCATCATACCCGCTTCAAACAACGGATCAAAATCCTCCTCTTCCTCCTCATCCGCCTCTATCCATTGCAGTGCGTACGGGTCAAACGATGCCATCTGGCGATCCCACCTGTGCCGCATCCTCTCCCCTCCTCTTCCTCCCACACTGCCATTTCCATGCCAGCCTTGTGACTGTGGACCAATCAGGTGCCAGAGTCCTCCCTCGTGGGCAAGCAGAGAGACAAGGCTGGGCAGTGCAAGCAAGCAAGAAAAGAATGTGTCAGCCATGGAAAGAAATTAACTTTAAAGCACATAAGACTCTCCAAGAAAAATCACATTTGACGGTACTACCATGTGTGTTGCTGATTGCCTAATATCACCACGATCCCTGTGCTCAGCCATCAACTCATAGCCTACCATTCCAACCTTTATGCAGTGAAAACTTGACATTTACAACAGCAGAAAAGTGAAGGCAAAACAATGGCAATCATGAATAAACATAACAGACTTCACCACCACAAACGTAACAGTTAGGGTTGCTAAGGCTAGGCCTTACCCCGTCCACCTGCGTGGAGGAAGTCTCTGCCACTCTCCATGTGGCCTGCCTGCTTCATCCACCTGGAAAACCAAAAAGAAACAAAAAAATGGTTGCCTGCACATGCATGTTTGCATCACCATGACATCCGTGTCAACATCCTATCAAGCAACTGACATATTGGCTTCAGCTACATCATTGAATGACAATCATCACCAGCATAAGCATAACAATGTCGCCATAGCATCAGCACTCACCGCCAGTACGTGCGCAAAGACATCTCCAGGACTATCGGAATCTCCAAATACGGCCTGCAAGGGAAATCAGGGTGAAATGCAGGGGGGGAGATGAAAGAGAGCTAGTCATGGATAGAAGGAGCAGAAATGAGAGGGGACCGAATGCGTGAAAGTGCTCTGAAGATGTAACAAAATGACTGGCCACTTGCGCAACGTCATGTGATGACACACAATGTCAGGCTGTGTCAAGCACAGTTTCGCAATGTCAAGCAGTTTCAGGTAATGTCATGCATGGCATGAGTGCACGGCACATACCTGTGGTGAGGCGCTGACGGCGACAACATGCGAATCAGACGCTGCCAGCTGGACGCCGAGGTGAGCACCAGACAGTAACTGGGGTCCACGTGTGCAGGCGCCAGTGACAGCATCACGGATAACAAGGTCATTTCCAAGAACATACTGCTTGTGCTTCACTGCTACTGTCTTGATGCGGCGAGAGCCGAGGAAAGATACAATTTCACTTAACCGAAACCATCTGTTAAGAACTGGGAGAAATGAATGGCAAAGAACAGAAGGAAATAACGAATTCGGGCAAGGTATGTCAGGAACGGGGAGCTAATGGGGTTTTTAAGGAATTGTGGAGAGTGATGTCGAGAGTGGGTAACCGTCAGTAAAGTGCTGGGCAATGTAGTACTAGAGCATTGTGGAATGAAAAATGCTGGAAACGAGAATGAACTGCCCAGGAGCTGTTGTTCTGCCCGGGAGTTGCCCGGAAGAGACGAGCGCGGCAGAATTCATTAGAGTCGAAACGAGTGCTGATGGAGTTGCGACAAACTCACTGGGTGAGAAGGCGTAAAGTGAGTCCACACGAATTTGGCTGGGTGACTTGCCTCCTCGGAAGGAAGAGGAGTGGGAAGAAGTGGAGGAGGTGGTGGTGGCGGAAGGGGGAGGGTGGTGGTACACATTGACGTACACCCAGCTCTCCTTGCGTCCCAGTTGTTCCCTTAGACTGCACATGCGGAAAGAGTACAGGAAAGAGAATCAGCTATCTGGCCGAGTCAACGCTGAAACACTGCGTGATGCCAGGCAGTCGAGATAAACTTGCTTTTGCTTTTCCCTATAGATGATGGGGGAAAGAAAGAAAGAAAAAAGAAGAAGAAGAAAACAAAAACGCTCACGACATCGCGTGGCAGACGGTACTCGAGACACACCTGTTCTTACTTACCTGTAGACGTGCTCGTCTTCTAAAGCTGCCTTCCAGCGACGACTGACGCACTTTAAGACGCCGTAGCACCCACGTGGCAGCAACGCCAAGCACATCAACGCAGCGTCGTCAGGAATACCCGGGATAACAAACGAAGCGTCCGAACCCATGGTCACACCTGCTTCTAACCGGATTGATTCCAGAAAGGTTCGACCCGAACACGGCAGTATGACTCTCGGACACAGAAATTGCACTGACAGCCACAATAGTAGGATCAATCTATGCACGTTGCAATGAATAATGTTTGGAACGATTTATATTGCTGACAATAAGACAACAATGGCGGACAAATGCCTTTATTTGACCATCACCAGTGCCACTGTGCATTATCGCTGCTGCCGATCTGTGAATGCGAGACCTTGCTCTGTACGCATTGAGAACAGACTGGTGACAAGTGCAATTGCAGCAGATACTCGTGAGGAGAACCGCACCACTAATTTGACCTGGAGCAGTTCAGCAGGATACGCGTTGTACTCGTTTACCTATACAGTTCTATAATCTTTGCAAAAATCTCCGCCCGTTATGTGCTGTCAAGTTAATTAATCACCAAGAAACAAAAGGGTCATAAAGTCCTTCACACCTGGGTGTCTCGAAGGTTCCCCTTTGTAAACATAGCGCATATTAGGATTTTTTCTTGAAATCGTATTCCGCTATATTTTGCATAGGGACTCTAAACGCTGCCCATTGCAACAAAAAGGTTATGGCCTAGT